TGTAGCTGTTCAGTACTCATCCGTACCACATATTTATATCACATTATATCTTCGTAACCTACATCCTGATTTTTGTACATATTTGAAAATCTATTCTCCTCTAGTCTATTCAAAATCATATCTGAAGGATTTAAAAGCTTTCCACAGTTTTCACATTGATCTCCTTAGAAGACAGGAGATTGAATAAAATAAACCAACCCACTAGTCTTCCATTGGCATCAGACACCTCTCAGCATCAGTTTCAGATTTCTTTATCTAATAAAGAATGTTGTCTCTTTAAATTTTGTCGATACGTGACAATTTTTGCACTGACATTTTTTACATAACTTCACACCATCCAAGTTTTTTGCACTGATCATTCATCTTTAGCAACTTGTTGATCAGTATCATTATTTTTTTCCAGTTCTTGTGCCTACAAAAAACAAATGCTAAGTTAGTAAATGTAATGAATTATAATTATAACTTATCAAACTAATATATATATATATATAAGATTAAGTAATTAATCAAGATTTTTTCATACTTGGACAAAACTCATTGATGCATGCTGGTATGCTATTGAACTTGAAGACATCAAATCATAATCTTAGTAGAAGTTAGAGTCTAATGTCTGCCGAAAATTATAAGAAATAGAAAACCACACATATAAACAAACAGCTATAAACTTGCAACTAATTGTGTCATGTTTTTAGTATATCGCCTATTGTAGATGTCTTCTATTGGAATTCTAAATTCCTGATATAATTAAAGAGAGACAACCACAAATTAAAAATATCATTAAAAAAATATATCTTTAATATAGTTTAGTCATCTAAAGAATAAAATATTCAAATAAAAATTTAAAATGAATTATATATCTACTATGCTATACAAGACAAAAATGACGAATAACTATACCTGCTGTGGTGGTAATTCTTGAACAAAATCTTGAATTGTAGAAGAATCCATATTTGAATGAACAATATTATTTTCAAATTTCAATAATAATTTTTGCCCAAATTATAAATGAGGATCCTAATATTATTTCTATGCTTATCATTCATCATAGAACTAAGTAATCAAAAAAAAGGTTATAGTCAAACAATAAAATAGCATTGTTCACATAAACTAAATAAATTGTCTAACCTGTAATCTTTTTTATGAAAACTTCTCTTTCACCTTGTACTTGCTTTTCTTAGTAGCCATTTTTAGTGCACTACTTGGTCTCTTGGTTGACTTGTAAGTGACTCTTTTTTCATTTTGATACCTTTTATTTTATTATAGTCGATTTCAGATGGATTAGTGTCAACATCTTGATACACACTTTATTTTCTTCAATACGCACTTCTTTCCTTTTCTTTTTCCCTTGACAACATGTATTCATTTGTTCTGACATTTTTCAAAATTCATCTTTAGCAATTTGATAAGCTTCATCATGTTCAGAAGCTTTTATCATCAGCTTCATATATAGATAGGATAACTCTTTGTAACGAAAATTTAATTTTGCCTTTAACTCCATTTTCGAGCTACTTTCATTGGAAACATGTACATTTTCTGTTTTAGCTGCTTTTGTCCATCTCTTCAATATATATGCATCATGAATTGTTTCAATATTCAGAGTCATCAATATTTTTAATCCATGTGAACACAAAAATCTAACAAATTCAAATTTCTTACAACTACATGAAATTGAATTCGTGCATGAATCATAAGTTATAAGATGATGGAAAGTCTTACCATATGATGTAACTCTGTAAATCACTTGATTTCATAATTCATCATCAACTTTTCATTTACAATCAATCCCTTTGCATAGATCGTCCTTAAGTTTTTCATAAATTTCATGTGTATATATACTTGTTGCATGCTGTAAAATCTTACACGGGAATGTCATTGTCGGTGTACTTTGACTGCCTTTAAAATCTGCTACGGATTCATCATAACGACGATCATCTAACAGCTTTTGGAAGTGTTCAAAAAATTCAAGTAAGTCATGTTTATAATTTACATACTTCTTATAAAATTGTTCATGGACTCACTTCGTTGGGTCGTGGTCATATCAGCATAAAAGGTTTCTCTCCCCTACACTAAAGCCCATTTCTCTTTTATATTAAATATTTTCTTCAACCACTTGTTGTCTTCCAAACCATACATTTTTAATATTTTACTTCATCCCTCAAAAAAATCATTCTCATTTTCATAGTCATATATGCAGTAACTAAAATCTGTCGCAAAATTTTGAAAATCTTTAAAGGCATCAGCTAGATGCATTGTTGCATTTTGATAGATATGCCATATACATAAGCGGTGATACGTTGTTGGCCATTGAGAAGCCAAAGCCGTTGTTATTCTTCTGTCTTGGCCTGTAAGAATAGTTCTTGGTATTTTTCCCATCATAGTCTTAGCAAATGTGTCAAACAGTCATTCAAATGTTCCAATTGTCTCATCATTTAATAAAACAGCCCCAAAAACTGTAGTTTGTTTATGATGATTTACACCAACGAATAATGCAATTGGTCTCCCATCTTTGTGTTTTCTATAAGTTGTATCAAAACAAACCACATCACCAAAATGAGCAAAATTCATTCTCATCTTTGCATCAGCCCAAAATATGTTAGTTATCAAGTCATCTTTATCTACTTGAATGGTATAATAAAAATTTGGATCCTCTAATTGCATCCTATGTAAGTACTCTAAGATTCCTCCTGTGTCACCTTGCATCATTGGTATAGATCTTTTGGATCGTAAGTAGTTTTTTAAATCATCTCGAATAAATCCAAGATTTTCTCGTCCACCAACTTGTTTCGATATCAGTTCAATCGATTGTTTTGGTGCAATTTCGCAACTTCGAGCCATATCTATTTCAGTTTCTTGTGCCATTGTTATGTGTCTATGAGATTTGAATAAATGAGTCTTGCTCGGAGTTGATAGCTCATGATTATGTTCAGCAACAAATTGCACAACACGGTATTTTCCAGCTTGTCTACAGCTGATTTTCATCCTTGCACCACAATCACATCTTGTTTCTGGACGAGGACACTTAACAATCATATTGCGTTTGTCTCTTGGCCTTTTTCCTTCATGGGAGCAGCAAAAAATCTTGTCCAACATCATATCACTATTTTTGTCTTTATTCCCTTACTCAATCGAGTTCCAAACCAGATGCTTTGGCATATTTTTGGTAAAAATTTCTAACTGCTACTTCAGTATCGAATTTCATGCCAAGTTTCGATACAAAGTCATCTGGTATAGCCAGATGAAGAAAATTTTGATTTTCTTGATTGCCATCAGTAATACAAAGAGGTAAGGCATTATCATTTATCTCCTGTAAGTCAACATCTTCAAAGTCCAATTTACGACATGATTGGATTTCATGAGTTGGCAAACCATTCTCCATATTCTCCCAAAACCTAACAAATGACCTATATCATGGACCCCAGGAGATGAAAAACAAAAAGAAATTTGTATGCTGGTCACTGCAAGATGCATAATACGAAGAAAATCAAACTAAAACATTGAAAAACTTATTTGGAGAAATGTTAAAGGAAGCTTTGGCTCCACAACAATGCACAAATATGATTCTACCTGTAATCCAAGAAAAAGCTGAATCATTTTTCATTTAAAGAAAAAGTGTAATATCATAAGTGCTGATTAAAACATCGTTCTCTATTTCAGACTAAATTAGTAAATTAAGCATAAAAACTCAGCCGAGAGTCAAAAGGAACAATTCCTAAACATTGACCTTGAATTACAAATTTATCCAGCAATCAACAATGAAGCGTAATATTATAAATAAAGATAAAAATAATTCAATGCATAAAGTTACAAAACAATAGCAGAAATATAGATCCAAACCATCGGGATCCTCAGACAAATATGCATGAGATCCCCAGAGAGATTCCAAAAACATGGTCCACTATGCTAAAATGATCATTCTGGCCATATAAAAATATTTAATAACCAAAACAGAAAATTTCAAACAGTTTGTGACTATTTTTGCTATTTTCTCTTCTTGAAAATAGAAGAACAATTTTTGTTTTCATAAATAAGCTTACATGCAAAACTTGGCTTCTAATTAGTCCCTAGCATAACTTTTGTTAAAGAAAAAACAAAAGAAAAAGCTGCAATCGGTTTAGGCATTTGAATGAATAGGTGGTGAGCTTCGTCCTGTGCATATTCCACTATGCTACAGTATAATGAGTGTATGTCGCGTAGATTTGTACTGCTTTCTTTTGTACAAAATATGGGATTCCTCACAAGCACTCGGTTTGATTTCAATTTGCCTTTTGCAGTTTGGCTGCTGACCTTTACAAATATAATGCGCTTCCTCTATTACCTGCTCAACGCAATCTCATCCCCCCTTCCACGCTTTACCCACAATAGCCCATGACCACACCTGACAATTATAGGTGAATTGTGAGTGATTCTTGGGAGATAACACTCCCGCACGGTGGAGATGATGACGAGGGGGTTTCGTGGTTTTTAGGGTTTTTTCCCTTGATAAATTGTGATTTTGGTTAAAGAGATTAAGTTTTCTGTCTGGTTAATCGATTAATCAATTTAACATGGTCCGAGTTGGATTGTTTGAGGGTTTGATTTATCAAGGGACACTTGGCAAGATTATAAGGAGTGGGACATGATGTGAGACAGGTATGGTACAGAAGATCCGTTGCGCAAATTGGCTGGTCTTAGGAAGTTTGGGTTGATGGGGCTATTTCCATATCTATGAAGTATTATTAGCTAGGTAAGGAACATGAATTGTGAAATAATACACATTGCAACTTCTAAAAAGTCAATTGAATATTCATTACATGTTTTTTCAAATTTTAATATGCTGGTGGTGTCGTGTGGTACACTCGGTTTTGACTTTGGACAAGGTACATATATATATATATATATATATATATATATATGTATATACACATCCATAGATGCATAAAAGTTAATTAACGTTCCTGTTCGTGAGAAAAAACATCTCTCACTCATTGCTTGATCCTTTGTTCACTCTTCCTTGGGAGATAATGGTGAACGTGTTTACAATAGTAAAGCCGATTGTGCATGGAGTGATGAAGCTGGCTGGTATTACACCCCACAAGGTGGAGATCGAACCGGGGACGATCATGAATTTTTGGGTCCCAACCCAAGTCGTCAGCCACCAAAACCAAAGACCATCAACAAATAAGCCGCCGGTGGTACTTATTCATGGATTCTTCGCCGACGGCATTCTTACGTGGCTTTTCCAAGTTCTGGGCTTGACAAGAAACTACGCCGTTTACGTCCCTGACCTCCTTTTCTTCGGGGACTCCATCACCGGCAGACCTGAACGGACGGCGGATTTTCAGGCCAAGTGCTTGGCCAAAGGGTTGATGAAGCTGGGAGTGGAGAGGTGCAGCGTGGTGGGGTTTAGCTATGGAGGGATGATTGCATTCAAACTGGCGAAACTGTATCCTGACTTGGTGGAATCCATGATTGTGTCCGGATCAGTTCCGGAGTTGACGGAATCAATCAGCATGGCGACATTGGAGAAGCTTGGGTTCTCGAACTGGTCGGACATTTTGTTGCCGAAACAGTGCAGGGACTCAGACGGCTTCTTTCAATCGGGAGCTACTCAAGCTTATTCTCCAGGTTTCCTAATTTCATCTTTAAGGATTTTCTCCAGGTACTTTGCTTTATTCTTTTCGCTCTTGCTACTTATTCGAATGTTCACCCAAATCCCTTCCCTATAGAGAAACTGGTAGCGGGCGGGAGAATTTTGCTTTAACAAATTGACAAAAACTTGGATAGATATGGTCTTTTAACCCCAAATTTATTACACCATCTCATCAATCCAATATTTGAAAATGTGGTAAAATGCAGAGCTGATATCTTCTTCCTCTAAAACACGTCTATTCCCAACTTAAACAGCTACCAATATGCAAATATCATAATCGATGTGTTTTTGGGTGATAGTGATGGCAAGAATACAAGTACGACGTAAAGCTTGAATATACCTAATCATAGGTGGATGATGTTTAGACCAGATCTACTTTCTAAACAAATTTATCGATGTATTATATCCACAACATCCCCGGCATATGATGAAGTACTAGTAATATTCATGTTAGGAATAGAATAAAATCTTAAAGATTGGGCCAAAGAAAAAGTGGCAAAAGCAGATGCAGATGACGGTTTTTCAGGTAGAGGGTAGTAGATAATTGTTCCCCTAGCCAGCAAGCGTTTCAATGGTTAATGGTATTTCAATTCAATCTCAGTTGCCTGTATTCTATGCATGCTTGTTGGAGGAGTTGCCTTCTCTCCAATTTCTCTGAGTACGTCCCAATTTCTCTTCGATTATCCCAACTGGAAATACAGGATAGATTGCATTGGAGGTGTTCGAATAGGTGATTATTTGACATATCATTTAGAATAATTAATGTAGCACTTTTTTACTCCGTACTTGATTGAATATGAACAAATTAAACCTTATTATGCTTGCATCAGTGGCTAGTTTATCCAAATATGCTCCTAACAAAAGCTCCTTTATATACGAAATCCCGTTTTAAGAGTCTATCATACGAGTCTCCCCCGATATTGTAGAATGCATGATACTACGTAGTACTATACGCCGATGTCTCTCCAGTAGAGAGAAATTGTTGTTGCACGCCAGCAACTCAATTCAACTATGTTACTATTAGACTTGTCAAAATTAAACTAGAAAACGTGATACTTATATATTTAGGAATGGCAACTGGACCGGTTCCACTACCAATTACTTCTCTTGCTCTTGTCCGGCCTCGCTTCTTCTACGGGTACTCTTGTGGGGTTAATGAAAATTTGTCATTTAATTTTATTATATTCAAATTTTAGTAAATAATTAAATACTAAAATATTAATACATTATCAAATTATTATCTATTTTAATTTCACAATTAAAACTTATAAAAGCAATCAAATAAAAATTATTTGAATATAATCCAACATGATGAAACAAATATAACTAATGTAGTCAAGTTTTCACTTTTTAAATAAATACAATCATTAAGTTATTATTGTACTTTTTCTGAGAAAAAATGTGTTATTATGTTAAGTGTAATTAGAAATTTTTATAAATATATTGGTAAATTTAGTATAAGTATTTAATAATTTCTATTAATATAATTATTAGTATAGTTGATTATTAGTATAATTGATAATATCAATTATATTATATATATACTAATATACATTATAAAATATTTATAACTAATAATATCATTATTATAAATTTATAATTAATTAAATTAAATACTATATAAATATAAATATATATATTCTAACAGGTGGTGGGGCAGAGGTATGCTCCCCTTGCCCTTGCCCCATTTGTTAATGGGGAAAAAATTCCCCCCGCCCTGTCCCACCCTCAGTCCATTCTCCTGACGAGCATTCGTCCCAATTGTCATCTTACTTATATCATCTTACAATAATTCCCTCCCTTTTTTTGGGTTTCGGGTAAGACGATATGCCTCTTTTTATTCAGCGTCAATTATGGTCCTTGGGTATATAACATCTAAGTCAAAACTTACTGAATTTATTATGTAGTAATATCAATTCGTATCATCCTAACCTCACGAAGTGGCACGATCAATGTCTGACTTAGCAATTGAATATTGGTTCCGACTTCCTAGACGATCTTGTAGATCTACAGTTTTGGTGTCCACTCCTTATCAATTTTGAACTTGGAACTTGATCTCTCAATCTTTTGAGGATAAGTTCTTTCATAATTTTGTGGGGGCAGGCAGAAGGTGGTAGATGCTTACCAACTTTCCTCCAGTCAGCCATCTAAGGTCAGTGTCAGATGTAAGAGTTTGGGAATTCAGGAAGGGAAAAAAAAATAAAAGAAAAGAAAAGAAAAGAAGGTACAGTTCTGTGAGAAAAGAAAATAGGATTGAGAGACAAGGGCAAAAAGAGAAAATAATTGATTTTGAACTCATTTAGTGTTATTAATATTTGACACTTGTGGGTTAATTTGGCACATATAAAAAAAAAAAAAACACAAGAAATGAGTTGAAGTTTCCCTTCATCTATCTCCATCATTCCATTTCGTTTCTCTCTCTCTCTCTCTGGTTAATTTTCTTTCCATTTGAACGTCCCTAACAAGTAACAAGGAGCAACTTTAACCTTGTCTTCCTTCAAAAATGAATTTAAATAAAAAAAAAAGTTTTCTTTCCTTTTCCCTTGTTTTCTGTCTAAATCTAATTTTCCAAGCTAAAAAGGGTAGCATCCAATCCTGTAGCCGCAAATAGGGAGGGAAAAGATACTCACATATTTCTTTTCCTCATTGCAGGCTATGTTCCATAGCAGGAAAGAGAGAACGGAGCTTCTAGAGGCAATGGTTGTCCCCGACCAGGAGTTTACACCCACAGCGTATTCCCAGGTTGCCCATGCTATATAAATATATATATATATATTGTAAAAAATACTACTCCATATTGTGTGATCTAGTGGCGCTAACTCGAAAATGCCTCCTTAATTACTGCAGAGAATTTATCTACTGTGGGGGAATGAAGACAACATTTTCGACTTGGATGTTGCCCATAACATAAACTTGTGTGTCTCCTCCCTCCAAAGTCCAAACTCAACTTTTATCTATAATATACTCCAGTAGTAAGGCAACTTTTTAGCTTCCATTAATGTATTGAAAGAGTCACTGACTAACCCCTACGCTAAAATTTTGTTGTAGGGAATTGAAAAACAAGGCCAGCTTGTACTGCATAGAGAACGCCGGACACATTTCTCATCTAGAGCCAATGACGGACCTAAATTTTTTCAATTTTAGTTTATATTATGAGAGTTGATATATATATATATATATATATATATATGAATTAGTCATCTTTGAATGGAATTTCAATTTTGGCCCCCCAAAAAAAAAAATCCTGGCTCCGTCACTGTCTAGAGCGACCCTGCATTTACAACAACCACCTCAAGAAAATTCTTCAGTCCCTCCACCTGTGAAAATTTAACCCAAAAAAAAAAAAAAAGTCGAAGCAATGAACCTTCATTTGGGGCTGTATTGTATTGTATTAATTGTTGGGTCACTTTTTTTTTTTTTTTTTTGAAAAGGGAAAGAAAGCAAGAAAGAAATGTTTTCACACGCTAAATTCATTTACATCCTCTAGTTAATTAATTAGCCTTGGTTGTAATTAACAATGCACGTTCCTTTCTGGAGCTGAAGAACACATGCTATTATGATTAACCTTTTTCTTGAACCGCTCCAACCAGAAAAAAGAGAAAATCAATTGCAACCCTGGGCTGACCGCCACTGCTCGTCAGATGTGGCTCTTTCAAGTCATAGCCTTGACAAAGGGATTAGATTGTGCCGTTTGCGTCCGCTATTATTATGAGTACTAGACCTCATTTTCTTTAGGTCATTCCATCGCCTACGATACAAATGTAAGAACTGAATTCACATTTTGTACTTGACCTTGTTGAAACCATATATCTTCGTTATTGCATGTTACTGATGGCACTACTTCAATGCTCTTGGCCTGCACAAGACTCGTTTTTCCCAGAAAACAAAAACACAAAAAAAAAAAAAAAAGTGTTTTTCTCGTGCTTTTTTCATTTTATTTTTTAGTTGACCAAAGGTTGTAAAGGTTTTAATGAATGATAAATTGGGAGGTTTTCTGCATTTAACCCAAAAAAAAGGTAACATGTTAACAATTTTTTTGAAAAAAGGAAAAGGAAAAAATCCAAACAGTGCTTAGTTTTATTGGTCAGTCAACATTTTTTTTTTTGGGCGGGCCCGGAAGGGGTCGGGGGGTGCTGTGGATGTTTTAATTCACAACGCCAAACCACCTGGTCTTGCCCTTTGCATTTAAATCCTAATTTACTCCAATCCTAACTTATACTACTACTCCCCAATGTTATTGCCGTTGTAGTGTTTTTAATGCCACGGCAGTAAATCTCTCATCGAACGTCAACACTTCGTATGGAATCATCAAGGACATCACAGTCAATGTGAGTTGGAGCTACTGTCCCAGTAAAATGATCGATTTTTGTACGAAATCAGTGGCCGGTATCGCATTTATATCCCATCATCCTTAATGATGAGCCCCGTAAACATGAAAATTATCATCCGGGAGCGGTTGAGTTCCTACAGTGGACCATTAGTGTTACCACTTTCCTCCTAGGGTTGGTGATCAACTGTCAGGCTCCATTTATTTCCAGTATGCTTTCTAGCTGCTTCTTTCCCTTTATTGGTCGTGTCTTTTACCTCTTTTCACCAAGAAAGCTGGACATCAACATCCAGTCCAATTAGCCAATTGGTTCCGAAGGAGGGCATAGTTTTCTGGTTATGAATCTTATGATGTGACAAAGTCTTCTTTGTTCTGTATTGCTTAATACTCCCTCCCTTTTTTTATAACTGACGTTTAAGGTTTTGCACACCAATTAAGAAAAGTTTTTCATTGTTTAAATCTATACACTACTTTCCTTTTGTACCCTTATTAATTGTCCAATTCATCCATGTTTTCTCTCACTAGAGTATTAAATGGTGCTGTTTTATTAGGCCAAAAGCAATGCAAACTAACTCCTCCCAATTATGAAAAGAGAGATAAAAGGGTAAAATTGTGAAAAAATAATTAATGCTGCATGGAAATAATAAAACGACAGATAAAAGTACTTAAGAGCAAATTTCTTAAACGTCAGTTATAAAAAAAGGGAGGGAGTAAGATTTCTCTTTCTTGAAACAGGACAAACTTTAATACTTAGTGTTTAGTTTATAGTAATCCTAAAACCAGATAGAATTAATGAGCAAGTAAAATGGAGAACAGTTATTATTAGAGTAGTGAAGTCCGAACCCAGCTGCAGACCTGCAGTAGCAGATTCATGTTTGTGAACTAGATGGAGTTAGGCGATGGGTGATTCTTTTATGCAGAAAAATGTGCAATAAATTGTTTGTGTGTTTTTCTTTGTTTTGCGGACAAATCAAGAAGGCAGAGAGTTGTGGATGTAACATTGGAATAGGAATCATGTGCAGCCGGAGAAGTGGACGTAGACCGCGAGTCGATTAGGAGTCAATCAATAATTACTCAGGAAACCAACAAATTATTAGGAGCACATGACAAGCTTAAGTATTGGTGAATTGAAACGTATGATCAGAACTCTCAACTCAATTACTCACCATTGATCAACTTCATTCCTATAGGCCCATTATCTCATTGGCTCACTCCACGAGACATCTCATGTCCATGAAGTTGGCATTGGAAAATTTTTAAAAGAAAAAAGAAAAGAACACATGAACATTTTGTACTACGTAGTAGTATTAACTTTCTTTGTCTGAAAAGTAGTGGTAGATGAACAGCAGTAATTACCATGAATGCGACCTGAGGATCTTCCACCGGTGTGCAAGGACACGTACTAAATGAAATCCGCCCCAATAAATGCTGACGCCATGGGCATTCTGCGCCATCATAACTCTCCTTAGCCTGCACAGCTTCTCGCAGTCTTTATGACATGCAGATGCGGTAGTCGTTGTCTTGGCAAGCACATCAAATTCTAGATTATATATATTTACTCGATTCCACTTTGATAGTTCTATATTTTTTTTTCCTGTCTTAAATTATAATTCACTTTTTAATTAAAAAATATAATTATTTTTTATTTTTTTAAAAATACTCTTATTTAATGTAAATTATTATTACTATAAATTAACTTATTTAATATAGATTGTTAATATTAAATATAACCTACTCCATTTAATGCATTTAAAATTTTTAAAATATATTGATATATAAAAAAGTCAACTTTATTTAATGTATAGATATTTTAGAAAAATAGTAATTTAAATTTATTTTTTAATCAAATTAATTACTTATCAAAATGTGTGGGATAGAGAGAATATATATATACATAGACACACGACTCGAGAAATATATTTCAGCAAAAGCTTAGCATTTTAAAGCCCTCTAATTCATCTGCACTACACAAAGACTGGGAACAATGGTGAACCTGTTCACTGCCGCGAAGCCCTTTGGAGCTTTGTTGATGAAGCTGGTTGGGATCACGCAACAGAAAATCGAAATCGAAGCAGGGACCATCATGAACTTTTGGGTCCCTAATGAAATGGCTAACAAACCAGTTGTGGTATTGCTACACGGATTTTGTGCAGATGGCTTGCTGACTTGGATCTTCCAAGTCTGTGCATTGAGTAGGAAGTATGCGGTTGTAGTGCCTGACCTTCTATTCTTTGGTGCCTCGATCACGGACCGTCCTGATCGGTCCACCAACTTTCAGGCGGAGTCCCTGGCTAAGGGGTTGCGCATGTTGGGAGTGGAAAAGTGCAGCGTCGTGGGGTTCAGTTATGGAGGGATGGTAGCGTTCAAGCTGGCTAAGCTGCATCCTAACATGGTCGAGTCCGTGGTTGTTACCGGGACAGTTATGGAGTCAGATGACGAGACCAGTGATGAGGCCCCAGAATCGTGGAAGAAGAAGAGATTTTCACGGTGGTCACATTTTTTGTTGCCGGAAACGATCAGTGCTGGTAGAATGCTGCTGTCCTTTGGCAGTCACAGATTCCAATGGTTTCCTGACTTCGCTGTTTCTGATTTTCTGGAGGTGCGTCAAGTTGTGTTGATTTCCTTCTTGTCCATAAATTATTTGGTTTGCAATTTTTCAAATTAAAAATTTTACATTTTTTGTGTGGTCACATTTCTCATTTATATTTTTATTTTACATAATGTATTTTTTTAAATAAAATTTATATACATCAAATTGTTACAGCTTATTTTTTTAATTAAAAATCTAGAAAATTGCAATTTAAAGGAGACCTAACTTTTGCAATTATGCCTCACTTTCAGATATTGGGTCCCTTTTCTTTTTTCTTTTCCCCTATGTACTAGTCTCTTTTTTTTTTTGTTTCTTAAAGTAGTTTCGGGGATTATTATAAGCTTGTCGTATTTGGAAGGACATGACTTCACTCAGTCCAATTTGTCCCAAGCATTTTATTTTAGCAAAATTTATCTCTATATGCTGAGGATATCTCACTTTAGTCCCTAATTTTTGCTTTAACGTATTTATTGCCCTAGAGTTATACATATTAGTGGGTGGGTGATGATGTGTTGCGCTCTCAAATCTTATATAATACTACTACTACTATAAGAGACCCGGTGTTTAATTGGCAGGTAATGTACAACAATAGAAAGGAGAAGGCTCAACTGCTTGACGCTTTAAACTTCGGTGATGATGACTTGGCTCCAGCTAACTACTCTCAGGTTTGTGGGTGTAATATAAATTTCAAAAATGTTTGTGATTATTATTCATTTAGGATATCAAGCAGAAAAAGTAACCATCTTTGAGAGATTTACTACGCATCATATATAGAAGAAGTGATTTTTTCTTGGCTCTTCCAATTTGGAAACTTTGACGCAGAGGATCCATCTACTTTGGGGCGCCAATGACAGGATTTTGAGCTTGGAGTTTGCTTGGATGCTAAAAAAGTAAGTCCATTTTCTTTCAGCCATGTTAAGATGTTTTAAGTGATGATAAGCAGAGTTATGGTGTTTTATTCATTTATTTATTTATTTTTTGTTTGCAGTATTTATTATTATTTTTTAAATCTGGCCTTTCATGATTTTATAGGAAATTAGGAGATAAAGCAAGATTGGTATGGATAGAGGATGCAGGGCATTTAGTTCAGATGGACCGACCCTACCTTTACAACCGCTGCCTCGAGAAAATTCTTGCATCGGTTTATAGTTTATCATAAGCTATATGGCGGGTAAAAAATGGACTTCACTCATTAAGCTCATCCTTTTCTCGCTTCTTAGCTTTCTTATGGATGTCATATTCTTTTTTTTAAAAAAAAAAAAAACCCAAAAACCCTTTGTCCCTTTTTATTTTTGGTTTTCAGTTGAAGCTGGATTTACATGGATGTTCAGTTTAAGGTTTCAACCATGCTCGCGTGTCAGCTAGTTGCTAATCACCTATCTTTGGGTTCTTAAACTAAAGCGCTCCATTCTAGACTCTTTTGCCATGTGTTATACTACGTTCAATGTCACTTTCTGGATCACAAAATGGATTAATTTTTTTTTTTTATTAGCCATAAGGAAACGGTCCATTTGCGTTCTAAAAATGAAGCAGTGCCGTGTATCAACCATTATAGTCGATGTGGCTTATTTATTTAATGGGGGATATGGTATAATTAGCGTTAATGTATCACGTGACACTTCTACGTAACCGTGACTGTATAGTGCGTTGTTGGAGTGCTAACAATACGTGGACTGCACTCTTCTCCGTTGCATAGGAGGGAACTTCTCTTCATTACATCCGAATAAAATTAATTTACAAATTCTTTACGAAAATCAACTCCGTTCACAATATCTTTAGGGATAATTTCAGAAATCTCCCCTGAGGTTTCTAACAATTTCATTGTACTCCCTTGAGGTTTTTAATATTACACTTACCTTCCTTGATGATAGACAATGACTATAATAATCTTCATAATTTTTCAAATGACAAGCCATTGATAAAAAAGAGAAAGACAACAGAAAAAAGGAAAATAATTCTTCTTGATCAGGCAATATATTGTGGCCAAACTATTTCAATTATGACTAATAAAATTGTAGCCTTCTATTACTCAAATATACTAATTAAGGTAGATGTCTGCTTCCTTTTATCACTCAAATATGCTACTGTTGTCGATTAGCAAGCAATCATCACGGCCAACAATCCAATTGTTCATATCATTGAGTATAAAAAAATTACTGGATTAGTGAAAAATATAGTTTGATAGGTTGTACTAAAACTACTACCCCAAACTTACACTTTTGTTGATGTTTTGCCCGTTTCCTCTTAATAGAAATCAAACTTGTTCTCAATAAGATTGTGTCAATTCAGAGAAAAAAATGTAGGCTGATTTAGGATGACCAACCCAAATATTGAGAGCAGAGATTATAAAAATTTTGGTAACTGAGGGATTGGCCATTTGAGTGGGAGAAATGTAAGGATTGTGAGTTTTATAACTAACGATTTGGTATGCAATATATGGACGAAACCTACAGAGATGTCAAAATCCACCGTTATTAAGGAAATTTAGATGAGGGCAATTTTGGGCATTCATATACTTTTTTGGTCTTACATCATCAAGGTGAAACTCAAACCTATGTTCTAGGAGAAGTATGTGTAATTTTAAGAACGTGAGGGGAGCTGTCTTAAATTACTAAAAACCTCAAGGGAGGTTTCTGAAATTATCCCATATATTTAAGTGCTAGTGTTAGTTAGTTATATATGAAATTTTATGTAAAATTGACCAAGTTTTGCCTTCTGATTTTTCATTGCAAATTTTATCATAATTTTGACTCATTTTTCACTGTTCAAATGTTTTAGCATAAATTGAGTACCAAAATATTCTAAAAAAAGTATCATTTTTTCTTATGTTGATCTAGAGATTAAAAGAAAAAAGAATAACATAATTGCATAATTTTACAACATTGTATAAATTTAGATATGAATAAATGAAGAGACCAATGAAAAGAAATCCAATGGAGCTGATTCTAACCCACAACAAGAAATCCACATCGCATTTTAGAGGAGTCAACAAAGAGATAAGGTTGCTTTTTAAAGAGGTACCATTAAATAATAAAAAAAAAATAGAGCAAATGCATGACATTGCCATAAAGATAGATTCCTCAGAACTTTATTACGCATGAGAATTGAGAATTGGGGATTGCATATAACTATACTACAATTTCCTTTGAACACTGCACATACGAAGTTCCAGTAAATTCGTTCTTTTGTAATACGGTTTGTAATAAGAAAATGTTGTTTGATGTATAACTCCAATGTTTGCAGCACAAGATACTAATGTATACTTTGGTTGGGTTGGGCACATGTTATGTTAACTTTCCAGAGATGGGGAAATGCCTAAAGCTATCCAAGTGAAATAAGTCTATTCAGGCTAAATATATAGCTTATGCTCGTCATTTATCATTTATTCCTCCGCAGCTCAATTAACTAATTAATAGGATCAAATGCCGTCTGATTACATACAACTAAGAGTACGAAAAGTAGATTGAAGAAATTAAACATATGCATGTCAAAGCGAATTTAGTTCTAAAATTGTTTAAAACTCTGAACATATATATATATAGTTTTCTAAAAGAGCTTAACGTTGATCGCCCAACCCCCCCCCCCCCCCCCCCCGCCCGGGGTAAGTAATATGTCTAATTTTCCAAGTTCCCAACTTTTTAATGCCTATTACTCTCATAGTCATCCGGCCGGCAATCTAAGAGATTACTTTATTGCGCACCAATGGTTTGAAATAGCTGCTCAATAAGGAAGGATTTGCGGAACGTGTTGTTTTTGCTAGATCCTTCCAATATACTTACTAGGTACGAAAAATTGTGAGGTCCACTGTGGGGAGGAAGTTGGAAGTTTAGTTACAAGTTTCTCTCTACTTCCTGTCACATTGTTGGCCGATGTGATATATGAACATATATAGCTTATTTATTGAGTTTCCGATCGAGGTATGTTTAGAGGCCAATTAATCATTTTCCTCGACTATTATTATGAGTTGTACATTTTAAGTGGCCGGTCTTTGTTTGTCGAATATCAGTTCATAAAAATAAAAAGTGGTCCAAATTACGGAATGCATTTATTTGACTTGAAAAACGAAGCCAGGAGGCCCGCAATCTGACCGAATAAGGTTGAGAATGAAAATAAAATTAAAATCGTGCGCAATCGTGCTTCTTCACTTTTATATGATAAATAACTGCTGCAAAATATATAATTTAGACAACAGCATTTAATTTATCCATTCACGGGAGGAATTAATCTCCACCCTCTTTATTGCTAGGAGTACACTGGAAAAGGAAAATTTTAGTACGCACCTTCAAAATACCTCACTAAAAATATATATAATATTGTGAGTTGAGTTTATAATTAAGTTGATACACGGGACTGCGGGATCGATCGTAGACATAATACTCCGAATTATTACGGTTTTGCAGCGCTTGACATACCTTGAGGAGAGGCCTGCAAAACATAAGCAAGACGGCTTTTCAGTGAATGTTAGCATGGGAGACCGACTTATGACATCGCATCTTTGTTAAATTTCATCTATTTCTCGCGTTGAACATTCTCTGTGTTGAATGTAGACAGGTGGTGAAATCTTGAAACAAGTATACTTACTTTATCGTACATTTTTACGAGTCAAATGTGATGCTTTTCGGGTTAATTGCTTAATTGGGAAGCAAACAGATGTAAGAGGTTCAATGCTTTTCGTGGGCTCACATAGATAGAAATCTAGGCAAACAGTAATTTTTAGTTTACGTTCAATGGTCCTGTTTAATTAGGCAAAAGTAAAATGGACAAGAAGCTACTGTTTAAACCCATCAAGAGTAGAGACGCATCCAGTCCAAGCAGTAGCTACCAGGTAGTGAGGTTTCGTACCTTTTGTTTAGTTAGGAATAGCAGTGGTTCCCCTTGTGGTGGTGTAGTTTGGGTAGGGAACGCGACCTGTTTCGATGCGCCTGACATCCTCAACAAGGATTTCATAGTGTCTCTTGACTTCATCTGCGGATTTCCCTCCGCCCACAACCCTGGCCACGTTCTGCCACCGGTCCGGTGTCTCCTTATCGTATTGGGCAAGAGCCTTCTCAAACAGTTTGTTTTGCTGCGGAGTCCATGCTGCGGCTGATGATGATGATCCTGTCCTGCGTGAACTTAGCGAGCTTGAAGCCATGGCACTGTTATTTACGTGATTTGTATCGTGTATATCTTATACTATCAATTAAGAAGGTGGGGAATGAGAAATAGATGAACTTGGGATTTTCGATGGGAGCGATCCTCTCTATTTATAGCCGCGAGGGAGGAGTTATAAGAGATGCATGGCAGTGAAGGAGGAGCCGATCAGTAGTGCATCTATTTTTTTGGCTAAAGGCTGAGGAGTGAGTGACCCGTCTCCTCTGTAACCACAAGGTGGTGAAGCATATGCAGGACAAGAAGCAGCAAGAGGGTCGGGAATTTGTTGCATCTATTTTTTTGGCTAAAGGCTGAGGAGTGAGTGACCCGTCTCCTCTGCAACCACAAGGTGGTGAAGCATATGCAGGACAAGAAGCAGCAAGAGGGTCGGGAATTTGTTGCATCTATTTATCCAAATGGGACAATAGAAATGTCACACTCTGATTTTTCGAAATAATTAGTAGTCTATCATTATCTTTTTTTTTTTTTGTTTTAGTTATTTCCACTCAAGATTTTTAGACACTTTCATGAATGAATATTTAAAGTTAAATACTGCATGCAATTAATAAGAAAATGAATATGAATAAGTTGTAATTGGGTATAAATTAAAAAAGCTGACAACTATATTGTTTTCTTGGCCAGATTTTGATATGGATATAAACAACCCCATGTGTTCTTACATAGATTGTTATAGGGACGCTTTAAGGAGGGATTGATGTTAGGAGGAGCATAAACCCCAAACTCCATTTCTCCGAGCGATTGTCCTTCCTACTTCGGCTTTCGGTGCAAGTTGCAGCCTCTTTTTCCAAGAAGATGTAAAAGGATTGCCTCTTTTTCCATCAATTTTTTTGGTACAAAATACTGAGCAAATATTCATGACATAGATTTATGCGGGCTTTGTGTATCCGAATGCTAGCTGATGAAGTCGACGTCCTTATAACCGGTATTGTTAAACCCTAGAGCTGATGATTTCATCCACACACACAAAAAGAGGCTCTGCATCTTCTTGGAATAATCAATTAGATTCTTCAGTTTTGAGCACTACTTTTGCCTTCTCTTGTCAAAAGAATTGGAGAAACTGAATAGCCATCCATGTTCTGAAAATTTAAAATTGAGAAGGGCACATAATTGCAATTCTTTTTTTTAAAAGTCCTCATATATCTTCCCCGGCTTTTGATGATCTCTGAATACTCGGCCAGAATCATGCTAGTCATAAACAGAATTCTAATTAAAATGCAATTAAGATAAATGAAATAGAAAAAAATATCTCCACTTTCTGTTTTCTTTTCTTTTCTTTTGGAGGGCGAAAGGCCGGTGGTGAGAGCAAAAAAGTAGCAAATTTTGACTTGATGGACAATTCTACCCCACCTTCGGCTGAGTATTACTATTTGGGACAAAATGCATGGTTGTTTAAGTCAAAATTTACTCTAATCCCGTTCTTTTCCCTGCCTGGCAATATCAGCAACTGGGGTGAGGATGTCAAGTTGAAAGGTAGTCGGCAAAGTAGAAGACGAAATGGGGAGATATTATTATTGTTTCCTAATTTTGTGACCACTCGTTCAATTCAACTTTACCCTGTGGCCACCAGTGGCCACCGCACGTTAAGTTGCCAAACCATATTCAAGGCTTGGAGATCCTCCTACTAACCTTCCTAAATTACCATAAATCTTGATCCTTACAAAGACGTGAGCATCTATATACAAATCTTGTCGTCCAAAAAGAAAGAAAATGGGGATTAGATGTCTTGTCCTCTTTGCAAATTTTAAGCCGAGAAACAAAGACATTCACACGAACTTGGACCAGCAAATATACTCGATAGTACGTTATAAATGTCAAAAAACATAATCCGGTGCTCTCAACTTTTAATGGCAATTCAAGGATACTAATACATAGGGAAACGCTCATTTGATTGAATTGTAATAGTAATTAAGGATCGAAACTCAACGGAATGAGGGTTATATTTTGCACCCTTCAATTATACTTCAGTTTGCACTTTAATGCCTAAACTCTAAATTGGTACAATTTAGGACCCGCTTGGTTTAGGGGTTTTGATACTTAGAATTACAATAATTCCGATACTTCGGCGATTGGTCCAGTGTAATAGGAATTGAAATATTGGAATCATGCCTTAAAATTTGATCATTCATGATTCCCGACCAAATTGGGAGGAATTGACTAAAACTCTCTCATTAGTGAGCCCTCTAGAAATGATTCCATTTCCCTTTCCAATTCCAAAGCAAGATCCAAGCGCCCCCTTACTTCCTAAATTATACGTTAAATCTCGTTTTGGTGCTTAAACTCTATATGAGGACACTGTAGTCGTTAAACTATGTCTCGATTCTTATTTTGGTCCCCAAATTCTTTTCTTCTATCTAATGATAGGATTCTTTTTTGGATTATAGCTGCTTCTCACTTGACTAGTATTCTATTAATTTTGAACATCCTATTAATAATCGTACTTGAGTGGAACAGCCTTTAAAGTTTAAGGGACCAACTTAAGTGTTCCAATATATGGTTTAGGGATCAAAAAAAGAACCGGAATACAGCTAAACGGTACAAAATAAAATTTAACCGTATTTCCACGTCTTGAACTTCAATATTTCCGACACAACTCCTGCCCCCGGCGGATGACTGCATCGACCCCTGCCCCTCTCGGACTTTGAGCTCTGAAGCTCGTCAACATGTTGCCATGGCCAGCCCCGGTTTTGTAACTTGCTGGCCAGTGACCTCATAATTTTGGACTAACATAGGGAAAATGCCAGGCAAGAAGCCATAGGGGAGGCCCTCGCCAGATATCATTGGAATTGTTAGCTTCAGAGTTTCGACGGATCCAAATCGTTAAATTTCAAAAGGATTAATGATCTTAGCTGTAGCGGCCTGCTGTCTCAGTCGCCGCCCACTTGAAAAAGTCACAAACCAGTGGCGGCAGCAGCAGCAGCGCCACCACCACTAAATGGCAAAATCCATGCATGCATGCTTGTCTGTCTTTTAGTTCACGAACGAATTAATCCCACAGCTATATTTTCCAGAATCATCCACCTTCTGGCTTCTTCCTCTAATCAAATGATATCGCAATTGAATTGTGAATAATGACATACTATACCTCCTTTATCTCGACTATAAATCCAGCAAGAAAAATTTTTTAGTATTAAACGTTGAAAAATCACGTGAAAGTAGATTAAAATTCACAATTTGTCTAATTAATACGACAAATTACGAAAAGTTAATTCAAATTCCAACTAACCCGACACTTAGCGAGACAATGGAACTCGGGGTCTCTAGGTCAGGATGTGTTCGGTTCCTTACGAAACAACAATTTTTTACAAATTACCTGATTTTTTTTTTTTAAACATATTCGTATCGGGATATACTCCAAGAGATAGAAAAATAAATAGGCCAATTGGTAGTTGAATAATTTGCCAAATTACATGTAATTACCTACATCATTTGTTCCTTTTATTTTTTATTTTTTTAATGTGGGTATATGTCCATGCATGAATTGTCCGTATTGGTATTATTTCCGCCTTATAATGGCCATGTTCGGAACCTTGGTTTTTAGGCAAGTTTGTATAATACTAGTTTTTTAACAATTTTTGTTACAGGAATCCTAAAAATTTATCAAAGTTTTTAACCTACACACTTTAAAATATCCAAAACACAAAAAAAAAAATTTTCCTTCCCCTTTTCTTCTTCTTCCTCCCCCACCCCAACCCACCACCACCTCCGTCACCGGCCACCACCTCTGGCGCCGGTTCCGGCGCCGATCACCTCTTCCAGTGCCGGTCTTCTTCTTTTTTTTTTTTCCTTTCTCCCTCTCCCCTGCCATCCTCCCCCTTTGCCCGATTTTGATCCTCTCTCTTTTTTTTTTCTCCCTCTCCCTCTCCTTCCCCACCACCCTTTCCCTTCCCCTCTGGCCGATTTGGTCGCGAGACCAGATCGTACCGAGGAGGGGGAGGGTGGCGGGGGAAGAAAAGGAGAGGGGGAGAAGGAAAATTGCAAAAAAAAAAAAAAAAATTTCCTGTTGCTACTTCATCTGCCGGCAAGAGAAGGAGAGGAGAGGGGGAGGGAAAATTGGGAAAAAAATTGTTTCTGTTGCTGCAAAACTCAGGTGCCAGTCATTTTTTGCAGAGGCGGGCATGAGATGGGGTATGGGGAGAGGGAAGGAAGGGGAAGGGGAAGGGGAGAGGGAGAAGAGGGTGGTGGGCAGAAGAGGGGGAGAGAAAAAAAGCAAAAAAAAAAAAGAAAGTTCTTTCTTAATTGGCAGAACGTTGGAGAGCGAACAACGGAACAGGGGAGAGGGAGGGGGAGGGGGAAGGGGAAGGGAGGAAGGAAAAGAAAAAAGAAAAAAAAGAAAAGGAAAAGAAAAAAAGTTTTTTTCTTCTACAACTTCTACAACTTCTACAGTGATCTACAATAAAACTTTATACAAACATTCAAAAAATTCACCTTCCATACACATGCATCTTACAATCTCATACACCCAAAGTATATCGAATTACTTGCCAATAGATGCCATAAAATTATTAAAGCCGTGGTCCAGTGGTCCAATGAGAAAGACCAGAGAAAAAGATACAATGGACGGCCCAATGCTTCATGGTTTATGCCCCTTGACTTGTCTGCTATGCCTTCGTGTCAAGTCCAATACTATAACCCACACAAATAACGCAAAGGTTAAAAACATAAGATTACGTTTGCATTGTTATTTTCTAAAGCTTGTGTTAAAAAAATATATATATTACACCAATTTGATATATATGAAATAAAAATATTATTAAGATAAAAAATGTAAAAAATTTTGTGATCGGAAACGTGCATTTTTTTACTGCCTTTTCCATCGTTCATACAAAAAGTCTACCCAACTCACAAGTGAATCATCTCCCCACTCCCATTCTACAAAATTTTCTCCTCCTTGTATGAGTTTGTGCGTATCAAAATCAGTAGAAAAATTCCATGCCATGGAATATGGATACTATTCAACCCAATGGCACATAGATGATAACGAAAAAGTCGGAGAAGGGAAATGTTGAACGACTTTATGCGAAGTTCGGGTTGGATTTCTTTACAACACTTGCTTTGTCCGATTAATTAATGTAGATTGTTAAAATGTGGCGCTGCGGGAGGAAGGAACAAATGATTGAGCCAATATTCAATGCCGCCGCCCGTCCTTGGGTGGTCCAAAGATATTGATGAAAACTGACACTTGATTTTTCATGCAGATTGCACCACTAGATCAGCGGTTGGCTACTGTCACCTGTGAAATATCGGGGATTACCACCTATCGGTCGAAGCATATTTGTCTCTTTCTTTTTTGAATACTAACTAAAGAAAATAATCCCACTTACCAACAACTAAACACAAACAATGCAATCATAAATCACTTAA